ATGGGGTAGCAGAGATCAAACCTGGGTCCTTGCACTTGTCAGGGAGGTACTTAGACCACTGAGCTATCTCTCTGGCCCTCATTCTTTTGTTTTCAAAGAATGCCAATACCAAGAACAATAAAACCTCAGAATCAAATATTATCTTTAATACTAGTGCAACAAAGTATATTTTGTACACCAAAACATTATTTTTAATATTTAAAAAGTATTGACTTCACCAGTTGCAAATTATCTTTTTACTTTTTTTTCATTTTTCTCCCTAGAGAATTACCTATTTCCTAATCTACACGAATGATTCATAAACTTTCTCACTGTTTTTCTCTGACACTTACTTGTTTCTTTTAATAAGTGAAGCATTTTAGTAATTTATTAGGTGATAGCTACACTGTTAAAACTCAGACCTGCACTGTTGAAATGTTTAACAATATTTGCTAGTTTAGCTTTTATATCAGAATGTTTACAAAGAGAAATGTGTGCTTTCTTTTGGATTTTAATTGTTGTAGAACAGCCACTTCCTCATCCTGTTTAACAATTACCTTTCTGTCTTACAAATTACAAGTTTAAAAAGCTGAGGATAATATAAATCAACTGTATTCTATACTGAATATTTCAATGACATTTTTGTGTATAAAAGAGGTTTGATATTTTCTCACAGGATGGGAAATTTAAAAATGGACAAAACATACATTAAAATTTGAAAACTAACAAAAATAAATGCATCTCATATCACTCTTTCTCATTATAGATTGAAATTGTTATTCAAGAAGAACTTGTTCAGATGGGAAGGGGAAGAAGAAATGGCAGAGGAAGAGAAGGAAGGGAAAAGATATTTTTAAAAAGAAAATTAAAAGAAAAATAATGGAAACTGATTTGCAAATAGGAAGAGGAAAACAGGCTTAAAACAGGAGGTGCAAATGGAAAAAATATTAAGATATGTTATGTACAGTACACATTCTCCATGATCATTATAGTGGTTATGTATGGCAAACTTAGTAATAAAAAGTAAATTAAGGGCTGGGGTATAGTTCGGTAGACTAAGCTCCTGTTTAAGCAAGCACAAGCACCAGAGTTCAGTCCCAGGCACTACATGACATGTGGGCCTCAGTCCCAGGCATGCTGAGCCAACCACCGAGACCTGGCGTGGTGGTGCATGTCTGTAATCCCAGCACTGGGGAGGCTAAATACAGAAGGATCACTATGAGTTGGGGCTGCATAGTGAAAACCTGTAGCAAATACATGAAAAAACAAAAATAAGAAATGAGGGGTGGGGGAGATGGCTCAGTGGAATAAGCGCTTCCCTGGCAAGCGCAAGGGCCTGAGTTCAATCCCTTGTTCCGAAAAAAAAAAAAAGAAAAAAAAGAAAAAAAGACAGTGGTATGAATTGCAAAGTATTTTTAAAAATTGTACTTAAAAAAATCAATACATTAGAGAGCCCCTGTGCTAATTATCTTTGAGAATATATTATAATGCCTGAAGATTATTTATAAGGGGATAGACAAATAATTTCTGTAAATTGTTGATTAATATTACGATATTGATGAACATTACCTACAATTAATGGGCTTCCAGCTGGTGTACTCCGCTGGACCTTTGAAAGCCACCAGCATACGGGGCGTGTATTAAAAGAGCAGAGCACATGAACCACCAGGGGCGGAGAGGAACCAAGGAGAAGAGGTTCATTTAACACAGAGATGGCACAAGTTTTGAGCAATTGCCTTTAGTTAAGTAAGTGTGGAATTACAAAAGGCTATTTATTACAGGCCAAGGGGGCCCTGCTGCTTGCTCAAAGGCCTTTGAAGAAATTCAACAGTTATAAAGTCCTGTTTTTTGCAGAAGCAGTAAAACCTGGGCAAACCCCCAAAGCAGCTTGCAAAGCTTCCATTAAAAACTTAGTCCAATGCTTGTTATAATTGTTCTTCGAAATGACTATTTTCATTCTATCACTTTTTATTGGAGAGATATTATACCTGGTTATTTTCCAAAATGTCTTTGAAATGTATTTTAACCATTACAAAAAATAAAACAGTTTCATGAAGGTAAGGAATTAAACCCAGAGCTCTGAGAGTTTAGAAGACAAGTTTCTTTGAAATGCTTTGTAAGCACACATTAAAAGTTCTACTACTAATGGATTTGCTGTAGCAGAAAAATTACTGGAATTTCTCCATTGTTTGTACAAGAAACAAAACTTGGTTCCAGGACATTGGGCCACATTTTTTCATTAGCAATTGGATAATAAATTGATTGTTCTAAGGATTAGAGTAAATTAAAAGAAATTTCTCAACTGTTCAACATTCTGGTATTAATTTCAGTGATATATTTAAAAACACCAAATATGTTTATAAAACATAGTGGAAATGACTTTACTTTGCTTGGAATCCTCTTTGGAGTGGCAGACCACAGGGACAGGCACTGAGGCCAGTGGGAGATCTGCAGAAGAAGAAAAAGAAAGGATGAGATGTATATGATGAGCAAATGGTGCTATTGTACATAAGTGGATATTGATTGCTAATTGAATAAAGTTGAAAATAAAAATAAATTCATTTTTCTACTATGTACCAATTACTCTTCTCTCATTGCTGAGACCGAATACCCAACACCCCAAATTAAGGACGGAAAGGTTTATTTAGCTCACAGTTACTAGAGGCTTCAGTCTATGCTCAGCTGCCTCCAAGGCAGAGAGACACACGGCAGAGGGCAGCAGTTCATGGCAGTGGCGAAAGGGCAGGAGCAGTGGCAAAAATAGCTAGAGAGTAAGTCTGTCTCGCTTGAGTTGCATTCAGGCCGTCCATCCCAGGCTGGGTGTAGCACTCACACAGTAATCCCAGGGGAGCATGAGTTAATCACCAACTCTAGAAGTCCGCCTCATGACTTACATGAGGCTTTGGGGGACAACTAGACACAAACCATGACAGTACAAGAACAAAGCCTACATTTTTTTCCTTAGTAAACTGTAAGCGGCCATTGGAATAACACTGCTTTAATTAGAAAACAGTTAAGAGACTCTTAAAAGCCTGTAGATGGGAAATATAAAGTCTTGCAAATCAAGAAGAATGAAGAAATCCTAGTTTTAACTGAGAAATGTGAACGCAGGGCAGCTGTAGGGGTTGAGGAGGTAGCTTGTGGTCTAAGCGTCTGCCTGGCAAGTGCAAGGACCTGAGTTTGATCCCCAGTACTGCAGTCCATGCTGGCCCTGTGCCCTTCAGGCCGCTGAAACTGGGCGTGATGGTGCACACCTGTAATCCCAGCCCTGGGGTGGCTGAGACAGGAGGATCACTACGAGTCTGAGCTGCATAGTGAGATCCTGCACCAAATAGATGAATAATAAATAAATCATAAACTAATAAATAATT